CATACCATCCTTCCACATGAAAATACATTCACCCCTGTGAGTCCTCCATGAAACTCCGACAATCCCTGTGTCCGATGAGTTTTCTTGAGTAAGGTTTATCTGTCCCTCTCTCATCTAACTTACAACTGTGGAGCAGGCTCTCCAGCTGAAAAGGAGAGAAATGGAGGGCCGCTGTTGCCATCGGTTCATATGGGCTCAGACCCACTGAGTGCTGCCCAGTTGTGCTCTCCCAGGAGGTTCTTCATGGCTTATGGTGAAACAGGGAAGAACAAACCTAACTCCACACTGGATCTATTCCTCTAGCTCTAACCCTCGTGCTCTGTTGCCTGTGCTTAGTCATGCTGGCTCTGGATATTTTGGAAAAGGATGCTGCCTACAGCCTGAAATATACAGGATAGCCCATTCTTAAGGGTCTGGCCTTTAAACGTATGACTCTTTTCCATTCATATGGAGATAAAATGTTGCAGAACAGAGACATTTGTCTTGTTAGAGGTTTACGGGAGCATCGTGACCTGACCTAGGCAGATAGCTGGAAGAATGAAGGATTCCAGCACCAAGAACTTTGTAACCACTAGCCACATCCCCTCCCTTTTTAGTACAAAAGAAGCCTGAATCCTAACTCAGGTCAGATGGTTCTTTGGGACACTAGTCCGCCATCTTCTCAGTCTCCTGGCTTTTCGAATAGAGCCGCTATTCTTTGTCCCAACACCTCTTCCCGATTTATTGGACTGTTGTGCCATGAGCAATACAAGCTCGGACTCGGTAACACTGGCTCCAGCCCCTGGGCTCTGGAGTAATCCATTTACCATGAGGAATGACCAGTTTCTAGAGTTGTGTAGTTTTCTCAGCCTGATTCCTGCTGTGTAACAAGTGATCCCAAATTAGTGGCTTTGACACAACCAGGTGATAATCTCACAGTTTTCCTGCTAGCACTCAGCTCCTGGAATCCACCTGAAGGTTCTTGCCCAGGTGGCCCCCACAAGCAGTTCACAGCATGGGGACTTGCTTTCTTCCAGGCCAGGCCGAGCCCATCTCTGTGCTGTCCCTCTCTTCTCCCACTCTTAAAGGGCTCATGGGATTAGGTCAGACCCACCTGGAGAATTGACTGATCCTAAGGTCAGCTGATTTGAGAGCTTAATCACATCTGCAAAATCCCCTCACAGCTGTCTCTTGAATTGTATTTGATTAGATAACTGGAGGAAGACCTGTGTCCACCAGGGTCCAGGAGTCTCATTAGCTGTCTTAGAATCCTGCCCACCACATGACCCCTGGTAGTTTGGGGGTCCAAGGGCTTCATTTTGCTGTGCCCAGTTTAGTCCAAGCTGGTAGTGTTTCCATAGAACAATTCTCTTAAAAACTCTGTGCCTTTCCTATGAGATTGGGGTGCATCAGCAAATGTCAGAACCACAAATCTCTTTCTTTGAGATACCAAGTTTATCTGACTATTTGGGACATCTGTTGGAGATTTTTTCTTTTTTTGGTCTTTTTAATTTCATTAATAATGTTTATATTTATAAATACTGATACTTTTTCCATTGAAGCTTATCTACAGGATAGCTATAATCTCCTCTTCAATCTTTCTACTGAGATATTTTCAAGTTTCTACTAATATACCTATTGACCTATTATTACCTTACTATTTCACAACATTTTGTTTTCTTCTTGCTGGTTGAGTTTATTTTCTTTATTTAGTGTCTCTTTTGGGGACTCGATTTTTCTCTTTTTACTTGGATACAGGAAGTTAGATTGAGGAAGTTACTTGAGTTAATTTCCATAGAATTATAGGAATAGCTGATCATGTGTGAGTGACCACAGTTTTTGATAACAGGATTGCTGCTTCTGGCATGGGAGGAGATGGTCTGATCTTCATCATGATGGGATGGAACACAATCCTGAACATGTTGTGTTGAGATTTCTTGGGTAACATGTCCTCTGACTTTTAGAGCCCCCAATCTCCTCTATTAAGTTATCTCTGGTCTCAAAAGCACACCACATGACACCCGAGACTCATGTACCCTAAGAGTGGTGGGTAGGAGGGGTGGGGACAGAGCCAGCTCTAAACACAATACCTGGCCGTCCATCCAATTCTCCATCATATCTCAACTCCTGTTTCCTTCAGACCTGAAACAGTCTGTGCTTTTCTCACGCCTGTGAATTTTGTGTGATCTACATTACTCCTTCAGCTTACTTTGAATTATCAATTCTCTATTATCCTAGATCAGAAAGTCATTTTCCTTTAATAAACTCTACAAAATAATAGTTACCAGTTACATAGTACCAAAGATCAGCCTCCCATCTGTTCTTGTTTGGTCTGCCAGAGTGTGTGTGCTGACTCATTATTAAGGAAGGATAGCATCCTGATGGGGCTCCAAATAAAATTTCCCTATATTGGATGGCCATTAATATTGCCTCTTGCCCACCCTGTAAGACAATCCCAGCTGTGCATCTCAAGGATACCACTCTTTTGTCATATGATTCATTTCATGTGGGCTACATCGAGCACATGTTAAGTATTGCTCAAAGACACTGGGGGATATAAAAGGGAGTATATTTAAGATTCAGCCTTCATGGAGTTTTCCATTGCAAGGTGAATGCCAAGAGAGATCCGACTGGGAGGAGAGAGAATATGGAGCAAGGGGAGGTTCTGTGGATGACATTGGGCTCCACCAGGGCTTTAAAAGAAGGATAGAATGTGGTCATATGGAGACTAGGGAGCCAACACTTCAAGAAGAAGAAACAATATAGATTAACTGTTAGCATTTTTCCAAGTTTCTTCCATCTAGTTTGTCTCAGTTATCTTCATAAATTCCATGAGCTGTAAATATTGTTGTTATTATTGTTACGTCATTAAAATAACATCCTTATATTATTATCGGCAGTTATATTATTTTACGATTTCCATAGTATAAAGGTCTTGTGTTGGATTCAATATTCACTCTATTAGCTTATAATTCAGAAATAATTTAATCCTTCAAACATTAAAAGAGTGTTCAATGCCTATAAAATTATCCCATTTTAGAGATTAGTCAACCTGGGCTATGTTCATATAATTAAAAACAATTAGTTTGAGCTCTCTTTACTCTAATTGGTCAGTTGCTGGGTATTGTGTAAGCCCAGAAGGGAACTTTTATTTTGACTCTTTATATTTATGTAAAAATTATGTTTAAGAATACAAGGAAGAATAATTCCAGGGTGTTTCACTATGTGTTGCAATGATCTTTGTTTCCTTCCAGTATACTTATCTATGAACCCGTCATTTTATTGGCTCCATGGTTATAAATGTTTTCAGGAAGTGCTTTCTGAAACAATAAATACCTCTCTGCTCCATTATCAAAAAATTCCCTGCATTTCATGCCTACATTTTATTTTGGCAACATTCAGGGGAAAAAGAAAGGAGCCTTTGTTGATCAGACTTTCATACTAAAACCTGAAATTTGGGAATCTGAAAAGTGAGAATAATGATATCTTTCTTTTTATGAATATTTAGAAATGTTTATTTCCAGCCCTCACTTTGGTGAAATTTTCAATGAGTCTAAAATAATCATAATTTTAAGAAAGAGTAACAACGTCTTTGTCCTTATAGTCTAGAATGTGCTTTCAACACTTTATCCCATGTACTCACCATGAAGTGGGCACTCTCAGCCTCATTTTCCAGTGGAGGAAACAGAGTCCTGGAGGAGACAGGTAACTTGTACCAGGTGTTAGGGCCATTAAAAAGGAGAAGTGACTCAACTCAAGGCTCTCCCTCTGTCCCCCAATTGAAAGACCATTTTTCGCCTTCAAAACAAAACAAACAAATGAAAATTCTCTTTTTTACCTCTGGGTTCAGATGACAGTTACATTTTGCCCAAGAATATTGAGCAATATCAAATGACTTTTTTTCCCCGAACACTGGAGATGAACCACAAGTTATTATAACAAAACTGGTCATTGCTCTCGCCAAAATATTTCATCAGCTTCTGGCGTCTCCTTATATCTTGATATGCTTATCCAGCATGACTGATGGCTTGGTTCTTAATAAGTAGGCTAGTTAGGCAGAGCAGTTAATGACAGGAGATTTTTCTTTGGCTCCAGGGCTCAGCATGCACAGACAGGACCCTGCATGAATTCCCCCAGCATGTGACGATAAGATGCTTCTAGTCTGCCAGCATCAAGCAGCTTCATTAATTAAAAACACATTGCATGTTATCACAAAAGACTGATTTTTCTAGGAAGAATTACCCTTTGGCATTTATGATGAGCATGAAGAAAAACAGATAATAAGACTACAGACATAACTTTCCTTAATTTAGGACAGCAAATATTTAAGATTAAGATTAAGGCTTCAGGAAAGAGAGCCTTTAGTTATCATTCTGCAAAGAAACTATTTGGGACAGTTGTTTTTCTTTGTTTAGGCTGGCTCTAGAAGGTAAACATTTACTCAGCCATGTCGGGTATCTGTGATTTAACATGATATAGCCCTAAAGTTTAAAACACACAATTGAGTACTTCACCCTTTTGTGCTTAAAACAAAACAATGCAAAATCAACAATAAGTGGACTAATAAAAAGTTTACCAAGCTGCCAAACACTGAAAAAGAATCTAGCAAAATCAAGATGTCTCTCTGAAGGAGGCTACTGATATCTTCAGCAGGAAGTGCAGTGTTCTGAGGCTGAGTTTTAAAGCAGTATGGTATTAAGATGACCTACCTCATAGCACTAATATAGAACTTAAGAGAACCTGGAATCCAAAGCCACAAGATTTGACTGGCTTGGATGTCCAACTCTATGTAACCATTTCCAATGTCCTGCCAAGCAGTTTTGTAGCTCCTGCTTCAATTTCACCCCAGACCTCATTACATTACAAAATTTGCGTTTAAACTAGAAGAGTTCCAACTGACAAAGCGTCCTCCTTAAAAAGTTGAAGTGATGCTTTTTTACTCCCTGGTGTAAACCATTTCTACTTGAAAACTTCTACCATCTCCCACCCAAATGTTCTCTCCTCCACACTAAGTATCCTCTATGAAGTCTACTTCCCATCAGGTGGAAAGACATTTAGCAGTCACCATCTCTAAGAACGGTCACCACCCTCATGGCAAGGATTTTGTACTCAATAGTTCAGAGCCCCCCAGGCACACTATCAATGGTGACAAAAGGTGTGGAGCCTCTTTTTGTACAGACTGGATTTGTCACAGATTTACGAAGTCAAGAATTCCAGATGAAGTTTTTCAGCCTTCACCTGAAGGTCATGAAAAATATGGTGGGGATCCACAGCAACCTTATAAACTGGATATTGTTACCAGAATAAAAAGTACAAAAAGACGTCCATATTGGGAGAAAGATTTAATAAGGATGCTTGGGTTACAAAAAGCACATACTCCTCAAGTTCACAAGAATATCCCTTTGGTGAAGGCAAAACTGAAAGCGGTTAAACGTTTGATAAGAATCAAGCCCCTGAAACTGCCACGAGTTCTCCCAACGGAGGAGGACATGTCCAACGCGTGCCTCAAGAGCACTGGGGAACTGATGGGGGCGTGGCTTCAGAACCCTGAGCACCAGGAAGAAAAGAAGTCCTGATGGCCTCGCAGCTTCAGAGTAAAAAGTGCAAGTCATGTCTATGTAAAGATGGTGAGAAAGTGTTCTCATTAAAATATGTTTTAAATTCTAGTCATTAAAAGAAATATAAAGATATTTTCCAGATCCCTTCAATATCTGGGGTCTCTTCTTCACATGTGGCAGTTTGCCAGTGACCCAAAATCAAGCACAATAATCCAAGAGCAAGCATAATGAAGCATCACATTCTTAGATATCTACTACGTACTTATATTAAAGCTGTCTTAGTTGAGTTTAGATGTTTGTCCAGAGCTTTCATGGTATTTCCATTTCTGAGATGATGACGTGCCCTGTGCATTATCTATATGCCCTTGCTATAAGGTCTATGTTGACCTGCCTTTTATGTCCTGTTGCAGATCCTGGTGGACAAATGTTCAAGCAGCTGCCTTAACTCTATACTTACCTGTTGTATAAGGAAAAGTAATTGTAGGATTTCCTACTTACAAAGATATGACCCTGAGATGGAGTATTTGCATTAGATACATCAAACACTAGGATCTTTACATTTTTTCCTCCCTTAATGTCTATTTTGACCCAATATAAACAAAGTCTGGGCATGATATAATATCAAACCATTATATGTGTCTATAGGTTGCTTAAAGACTATCCCAAAGAGGGAAATTCAGGAAAAATTCCAGTATAATTTAATTGTTCACATTATTTTTAAACAAAAGCAGATGGTTATATTTTATAGAATTTTGCTCTATTGAATGACTTGTTTTGGCACAATATAAAGTCAAGTAATGTTCAGACTGGGGACCAGGGTGAAATGGTGCTGTTTATGTACGTGACGTAGGAAGATCTGAGCATGAAGGTCAACTAGGTGTAGACTAATGTTGGTTCCCTTTTATTTATTAAGTGAAATTGACATGCCTTAGATGACAGGTAAAGCTACACAACTTTTCCCATCTTGGCTCTTGTGACACTTCTCTGCAACTTTCACATTACACTATTAGAACTTTCATGTTACAACTTTCACATTATGGCCGTACCTCTAAAATATACCACATGGCCTCACTTTCCAGTCTTTGCCTACACATTTTCCTGTTCTAGAATGCTCTTTCATTGCTGCATGTATGTGAATACTCTCACCATCCTACAGGCTCAGAGTAGAATGCTTAGATCAGCCCCTCAATATATAGCCATTAGCCTCACTTTTATGTGGGTGCTATGCTGGACTTCCTTATGATTTCCTTTCTCTTGGTGCATAGCCTAGTACCTGGTTTAGTTGACAAGCTGACTCATCTCTGGGCTCATGGGATTGATGTGGTCCTGCACTATCGCAGTCCTGCGCGCTGGGCTTGGAAATAAGAAAGAGAGTAAGACTCTATAGTTGTTGCAGAGAATACCAAGTTGAGTTCAAATACAAATTGTTTCCCCTCACTGATTTTCACTTGAATGGCACTTTACAAAAACTAATTTTGATACATGTTCCCTCTTTTCTATTAGCACTTCAAAGTCAACTTTGTGTTTTCTAAACTAAGAAAATCTTTCTGAATGGAATCACAATCTCATTTTCCATGTACTACTGCCTGGGACCACCTCAGGGAATCTTGACAGCATGTAACTAATTTGTATCTCAGTTTCCTCATCTGCAAAATAGGAACAATAATAGTACCAAGCTCATATGTTTGTTATCCCAGCTAAATGAATTACTACTTCTAAGTGCAAAATCTCTATGTAATATGCATTATATAAATGTCAGTTAAATAAATTCCTTTTATTCTTGTGGGTAGGGAAACATTTTCATGAATTTTAGATGTTTCTTATCCTTATTTGAGCAATACCAAGCTTCTTTCCACACATATAAATCCTAGTTATCCTTCAAGGAAAAGAGGGAACATTGGAGTGGTAGAATAGTAAAAACAAACAAACAAAATTCATATTGTAATCAATTTGACTCCATAAATAACCAAACTTATGCCCCTGCACCAGTTACCCAGTGAATTTTCAACTTCATATCATTAATATGTAGATAGAATTAACTACTTCCTATGGTTTTTGGAAAAATTAAATAATCACAACTTATCATCTGGGCCTTTATTAATGCAAAATACATTTATTGAAAGCCTAATATGTAAGAGTACTATCTTAAATATGGAGTCTCAAGACTAAATGCTATAGTCAATGATCCTCCTCTTGCGGAAATTATTTTCTAGTTAGGGAAGATCAATGATAAACAGTAGTAACAAAGCAACCACCAATCAAATGAAATGGAACATTGGAATGTAGGGGAAGAGTTTAACATAGGATAGTCAGAGACGGCTTTTCTGAGGAGGAGCCATCTAAGCAGAGACCAGAGCCTCTGGAAACGGGCAGGTCTGGTGATGATTTGGAGAAGAGCATGTCAGGGAAGAACAACAAGTGCAAAGACTCTTGGCTCAGTGGAGGCCAACCAAAAGGCAGCTGACTTAGCTTATAAGCTGGAGAGCTGATTAAGGGAACGTGGGTGGAGGCTGAGACAACTGCTGACGTGAGCCCCACCCACTTTGTCAAAGCCATTAGATTTTATTCTAGGTATAATGGAAAGGTTTAAATAGGTACAATTTACATTTTTAAGAGGAAGTATGACATCCATGTATAGAATAGAATGTAGGAGGGCAAGAGGAGAATCAGGGAGACTAGCAATGAGGACATACTGCAATTGTCCAGGTGAGAGATGAGAAATAGTGAGGTAGAAGTACTCCAAAAAGGCAAATTAGGCATAATTTGCATAATTAGGCATAACACAAAGATGTGTCATGGATTGAATGGTTCAGAGACAGAGTGGTGTGAAGTGTAACTCCAAAGTTTTGTCCTGAGCAAATGGGGACATGCTGATGAAATTAATAATACAGACATACTTCTGAGATATTTTGGGTTCAGTTCTGGACCATTGCAATAAAGCAAATACAGCAATAAAACTAGTCACATAAATTCTTGGTTTTCTAGTACATATAAAAGTTGTGGTTACACTATAGTCTATTAAGTGTGCAATAGCATTATGTATAAAAAACAATGTATGTACCTTAATTAAAAAATATTCTATTGCTAAAAAATACTAATCATCCTCTGAGCCTTCAGTGAGTTGTAATCTTTTTGCAATAGAAATATCAAAGATTACTGATCACAGATCACCATAACAAATACAACAATGAAAAAGTTTGAAGTATTGCAAGAATTACCAAAATGTAACACAAAGATACAAAGTGAGCAAATGCTGTTAGAAAAATGGTGCTGATAGGTATGCTCAATGCAGCTTAACAAACCTTCAGTTTGTGGAAAACACAGTTATCTGCAAAGAGCAATAAAGCAAAGTGCAATAAACAAGGAACGCTTGTAATAATAACAATAAAATAAAAATAGTAAAATATGATGCAATTATTACTATAGACAAGCAACTATTTAAATTCATTTATAAATAATAATTTGCTTAATCCTTACCAGAAATACCCTGTGGGTTAGATGCTATTATTATTTTCCCCATTTTACAAATGTAGAAACATAGAGGAGTAAAGTATACTGCTTATTGTCCCAGGTTTACTAAGTGACATACAAGAATTGAGCTGAGTCTAGCTTCATAGTCTATGATTTTAACCACTACAATATAGTGCCCTGGTGTTTCAGGGAGGATAAACTTGGCATACCTATTGAATATCTATATGAAGATATTGAGTAGGCTGTTAGATATTTGACTGGTACTCAAAAGAGAGATCAGGGCTCAAAATGAAAAAAATTGGAAGAATTTAATTAGACATGGAATATAAAGCAAGAAACTAGATGAGATTACATGGAAAGACAGAGCAGAGAGAGAAGCAAGGAGGGCCAGAGATTGAGACCTGCAGAATTTCAATATTCAGAAGATGGGAAGAAGACAGGGAATCAGTTTAGACTGAAAAGGGATGACCAGATGGGAGGAAAATAGGAAAATGGTATCCAAGTGGAAAAGTGTTTTCAAAAGAAAAAAGTGGCCAAAAGTATGGCTAAGAGAATGAGTATATGAGTGTCCTAGAGAGGCTGATGAGGCCTATTATATCTCTAGGCTAATTAAAATGAATAAAAAGATTGTATAATGAACAAGCAAAATGAGGCAGAAATGAAATAATAATGATGGTCATGATGATAGATCAACCTAAATGATGAGAAAAAATAAAAATAACGAAATGAAATAAATAGTAGACTTAAACTCCAAAGTATCAGGATCTACATTAAATTTAATAGCGCTTCTAGTATGATGAAGTTAACTCTTAGCAGTCTGACAATGCCACATTTAACAATTATAAAATCTGTACAAAGTATAAGAAGCACTACAAGAGAGTTCTGAAGAGTGAGCAACCTTTTAATGGGAGTGTAATCTTGGAGGTAGTTAGCAGTTTGTAGTACATTCCCACTTTTGTGGTTTTGACCCAAGAATAGGTCATAGTGGCTTCACAGTGTCAAGGAGTTTATACTCTGATAGGCTGCTATCTTTCTGGCCTGAGAAATCAAAAGACAGGTCCTGGGACAACCATAGCCGCCAGAGAGGAAGGAATTCTGTATGGGAGTTAGTAAAGGAATGATCCATGTTCTGTGTTTGAACTCTGCCCAAGTCTGTGGTTGACCCTGAACCATGCATTCACAGGGCAAACAAAAAACAGCCCACAGATACATCTTAAAGTACTGAAGTGAGATTTGAACCATGGTCCCTGGAGGTAGGTGAAAGTTTGCCATTTGTGTCTGAGCAAGTTAATTGTCTGGTAGTAAAAATATATTATCACTCTTTGGAAGAAAATAATAAAATCCAGAGCCTACAGAACATAAAATTCACAATGTCTGTGATACAATCCAAAATTGCTTGACAAAGGAAAAACTGGCAAAACATCACTCATTCTCAAAGGAAAATATAATTAATATAAAACAACCCTGAGATAACCCAAATGTTGAAATTATCAGTAAAGATCTTAAAACTATACTATATATAGTTATAGCTACTATAACTATGCTCCACGAGGTAAAGGAAATTATGCCTGTAATGAATGAAAAAACAACATCTCAGAAAATGTTTTTAAAAGGATCAAATGTAAATTTTTAAACTA